CCTCCAATTTTCAGTCTCAGAAGTGTGTGGTTCAATGCCCGTTTCATGTGTAACAAGGCTTCCTTTAAAAATAAAAGGAAAAAAAATGACTAAAGTTCATAAGGATGTGAACGCAATCCTTGGTTTTGAATCAGTGTTTATAGACTGGGCATCACAAGATCCAGCGTTCTCTTCACAGCTGCTCTTGCTATGATGCTTGGCGATCTTTTTGCCATTCCACGAATTCATCAAGAAGAACAGGCCCTGGGAGGGAGAAATAGCAATTACAAACTGCAGTACTTCAGAGGAAATTCAGACTTTAGCAGTGGCAAAGACAACATATTCCAAAGTGGATGATCAACCATTCTTTTAATTGATTTGTTGTGCTTTTATGCCATTTCATTCATTTTGACTCTAAGACCTAGGAACACTGTAAACAAACAAGAAAGCAATCTACTATCATTACAACCTTAGGCAAGACATTTTTTTTTAATCCAGTGCTGAAAATTAAGAATTTTTGGAAACAATTTTGTGATTTATGAGTGGGCCTAATGAGGAAACGTGTCCTAACATGCAGTTTAGACTTTCTTCCCTCGTGGCTAAGAAATATTCTTTGCATTCTTTGCTTAAAATATGCTGACATGTAACTATGTTAGTTTTATTTTTATTTTTATTTTATTTTTTTATTTTTAAAAAAAGCAGAAGCAGAAGACAACACAGGAAAAGAATTCTCGAAACAATTATCTACACTGTACTACTCTTGAGAGAAAGCATGGAAAGTGGACATTAAAGACAATATTAATCAAATTTTATCGACTCTACCTCATGTTATTTGCCAGTATATGGTATTCTGCAACTACATGGCCAGTCTACTGCTAGCAAAGATTTAAAAAAAAAATTGGAAAAATGTTTGGTTTTTTATTTTAAAGCAGAGCAATAGGTAATACTTCCATTTATGGAAAAAATAGGAACACAATGAGCCTTCTTCTTTTTCCCCAATTCTTACTGCTAAAAATGAACCACAGCCCAATTTATCCACTTCAGAATTAGGCCTTGTCCATGCATTTGCATTGGATCTTCCATTAGTATATATTCAGAATTGGTGGCAACTATATAATTTGATTATAAGCTGACATATATGGCCTCCTGTGAACAGAGATTATTAACCTTTCTGGCTTTTTCCCTCCCTCTACAACAGATATGTCAAACTCCCGACATCACATGACGTCGCGCAACGTATCGGGAGAATTTTGCCATTGCTGGCAATGGGGTGGGCGCGGCTTCCAGATGATGCGTCTGGCCCGCGGACCGGCAGTTTGACACTCCTGCTCTACAAGTAGTGACAAGTAGTAATAACATTTTAAAAAAAATATTTTGTATAGAACTACCTTGCAACAAGATTTATCAGGAAAACAAAAGACTGAAGACAAGGTATATGTTAAAACTGCAATAAGTCAGCTTGGAGAATGAGAGCTACAGATAAATATAAACAGCAACACTCTGCAATAAAACGAATGCCCTCTTTGCTGGAAGACTCTTGAGCCACTTATACCTCCCAAAAACGTAAGGTAAGATAAAAAGTAGCAAGCATTTTTATATTATATTCTTCAGTTAAAGATTTATTTCATCTGAAATTTGAGAATAAATTCATTCTCTCACTCTGCTTTTCCTTAGGGAAAAATTACATCCATCCATTCATCCACGTACCTACCTACCTATCCCAAGACCTATAAAATACATAGATTATTAAGAAGATGGTGGGATTTTAATTAAATGCCCTAAATGAAATGGAATACAGGTAGTTCTTGATTTACAACTGTAACTGGGCCCAACATTATGACTAAGTTGTGGGGGTTGTTAAGCAGGCCACGAGAACACACCCAAACATTATGACTTTTGTGGCAGCTGTTAAGTGAACGATGCGGTCATTAAGCAAACACGGCAGTCATTAAGGATATTGAGTGAATTCATTTTTACCAATAGCTGTTTTTTCTGGAAGTAAATGCTGGAAACTGACAAAAAAAAAAGCGAAAATCATGGTCCAGGATGCTGCAAACAGACATAGTTGGTTGCCGAATGGCAAAATGCAATCATGTGACCGTGGCCAGGTGTGTGTATGGCCATTTTAACTTCAAAAACAGGTTGTAAGTAGTTCTGGGGAGGATCATGGTAAGTTCAAAGTTACTAAGTGACTTAAATGAAGACTACCTGTATCTAGATTCCTTTCACTCAATATTCAGGCATGGGCACAGAATAGAAGCTACACTGATTTCTCTGTGGATTTTTTTGTCAGGACTTGGATAGGAGGATGAAAGGCTGTACTTGACCTATCAGTGGTACTCAATACCATCAATAATGGTACCTCTTTAGCTTCCTCCAAGGGTTGGAGGGTCAATGGCACTGATTTACATTGGTTCTACTTCTTAATTAGATGTGCCAACTGTGAGGAGGGGCTCAGTTCTGAGTCCCAAAGGTGCTTTTTCACGAGGCAACTGGACTTTCTTGTGTTTCTTTGAAGACGTTTCGTTTCTCATCCAAGAAGCTTCTTCAGCTCTGACTGGATAGTGGGGAATGGAAAGATTTATATTCCTTGCAGACAGATGGTCATTTGCATTCATTTAGTGAGTCGTTAGTGCTACCTGGAGGCTTATCTGTCTCTTCAGGGTCACCTGAATAGTGCAAATGTGTGTGGAGTCTTCTTGGAACTGTTGAAAGGACTGTGTTGTAGACTGGAGATAGATGTTGTATCCCCCCCCCTCTGTTGACAGAGAGCCATTCAATTTTGACATGTGGTCTCTTTGACTCCTCTTTCAAACCAGCGGTCCTCTCTGTCCAAAATATGGACTTTGCTGTCTTCGAAAGAGTGGCCTTTGTCTTTTAAATGCAGATGGACTGCTGAATCTTGTCCTGATGGGTTTGCTCTATGTTGTGCCATACGTTTATGAAGTTGTTGTTTTGTTTCCTCAATTTACAGATCTGCACATGGCTCACTGCATTGTGCTGCATATACCATGTTGCTCAGTTTGTGTCTGGGGGTTTTATCCTTGGGTGGACAAGCTTCTGCCTTAGTGTATTCTTGGATTGAAGTGTGCACGCATGTTGTGTTGGTTGAAGAACCTCCTGAGCTTTTCCAATATTCCTGCAACGTAGGAATGACTACGTTGTTTCCGTTTATTGTTTTCTTGGTCTGTTATGGAGGAGCTCCTGCTGGGTGTTTGTTTGACATTGGATGAAGGCCCCTTTGGGATAGCCACAAGTTCTGAGGGCTTCCTTGATGTGTTTTAGTTCTTTGCTCCTCCATAACAGATGAAGAGAACAATAAATGAAACAACGCAGTCATACACACATACAACTATTAAAGACCAAGACATGTGCAAAGTAATGCATATGATGTCTACATGTAATGATTTTATCATCTGAATGGAAAGAAACAAGGATTTATAAAGATAATATAAACATATTTGAAACGGCAATGCTAGATGTGGTGTAGAAAGAGACTTATCAAACCATAATATTACCTAGTCATGAAACATAGGCATGCAGAGTCCCATAATTCAAGAACATTCAATTCATACACCATCCTAGTATAGTTTCTCAATATTGTGTTGGGAATGCTATTGTTTTTGACTGATTCATACAGATACAAAAAAAATCAATTAAACTAGACTTTGAAAATTTTGTATATCCTGAAGCACCACAGAAATGAGTATGTTCAATAAGTAATGTATAAAGCTCCAAAAGGAGATTAAAATGACATATGAATTCAGATTAAATTTATTCTTTAGGTATCCTATATTCTCCATATTATGGAAAACTGAAGAAGTTTAAGAATATCTTTCATTATAAGTAAAATATGTACCCATACATCAAAATATGCTGATCAGCATGTATGAAACATTTTTGTCTGATAACATTAACAGAGTTGATACGATAATAAAAATATACACTCGGGTTGTGATATAGAGAGATTCAGATTGAGTACACTACATAGCACTTCAAAAAAAGGAAACGCCTCGACCCCACCCATACCGGACGTACACTACGTAGGTCGGACACCCTGGCGGTCAAACTGTGAGGACGAAATCTCCTAGATTTATTATGGTTTCATATTATAACGCAATTAGAGAAAAAAACATTCCAAGCTCAAACAACCATTATGAATATTCCAGGAATGAAATAAAACTTGGATTTCTGGGGACGCATCACTTTGTGTTCTGAAAAACACTAAAATTTTAGAGTTGTTTTTCCAAAGGTACACTGAATAGTTAAGGTGCAGCAACTTTTGTTTCCACAAATATGTTACAGCAAAGTTTTTTGGTGGAATATTACAAGCAGGGCTGTTTTGTTCCAAGCTTGAAATAAAAGATGTTCTATGACACCTAAACCAATATAATTACACCTAAACTGCCTATTTATGCTTTTTTTGTTTTCATATGAATATTACTGATTCAATCTCTTTATAACTGTAATGAAAACTGAAACCTTTCCAAAATAATGAATATAGAATACTTACATGCCCCATCTTCATCGTAGTTACTAAGATCTGCATGGACAGTTCTACTGAATTCTAACACATTGTACCACTGATCTTTGTTAATTACTTTGTATTTTGACTGCTGAAGAAAAATAAGAAATGTCACCATTTGATATACTGTGCCATATGTGACAAGAATTGTATACTTTCAAAATAAAGAGTTTATAGCACATCAAGAAATGCTTGAAGAAAAAGTTTCTATGTGAATTTAAACAATCTGACTTGACTGTAATAACTTGGTTTTAGTACACTAACAAGAAACATCAGTGCATATACATCAGTCATCAAATTAGTGGTATAAAAATGTTGTAGATTTCTACTTTTAAATTTCCAACTATCATTGCCTTTATTTTGAGAGAGACATTTGACAGAGAATAATGTACTAAAAATGCATAGATTTATTCTGAAATCAAAACATTTATCGTAAGTGTGAAAACATAAAAATTAAAAAGCATAAAAAATTGCAGAGTATAGTTAGCATAAAATGTGTGAAGGAGGATTAAAACATCAACATGGTTTGATTTTTTTCTAATACATCCCTACCTCCAAGTATTGATAAAACACTGAAAACAGTGGCCATGTCCTTCCAAGAAGAAGTGCTAACATAGATTTTGCTGTGTCAATATCAAGACTTCGCTGATCTTTATCCTATACAGGTTCAAAAAAGTGCAATTTAGAAAATGTATAAAAGCGCAATTAAATCATTATTTTCTTAGACGATTCACTTACCCTTGCAAAGTCAAATGCATATCTGTAGATATTCTTAAATGTTGAAATGTCATTCAATTGGGATCGCAAAAAATCAAATTTACTTTGTAGCTTTTCTGTACAGTCACATCTTAAATAAAAAAAATAAAATAGTTACATGTCAAATATTTGGGGAAAGGAAATGGGTGTAGGTATAATTGAATACACAGGCTATTAGACTCCAGGGGTCTCAAGCTTGTGACTCTGCATGTAATTTTTTACAGCCTACAATGTCCCTAATCTTATCTTTGCTTGTATATCAAATCAGAAATTCTCTATTGTTTAGTACATTTGAATATACTATTTCTGAATTTTGAGCATTTCTCAAAAGACAAAATGAAAATGTAATAAAATCACTAATTATGATCTGGATTGTATGTAGTGCCTTAAATGTGCAGCTAACCTGGGATAGGGCTAATGTTTTTTTTAATGTAATAAATTTATGTTTAATGGCAATCTGTGATACTCTTCATTTTCTAAATGTTTGCCTTAACAGGCCCTTTTGCGTTAGTGAATGAAAAGGCTTTAGTACAGTGGTTCTCAACCTTTTTAATGCCGCGACCCCAACCAGTCGTAAGTCGAGGACTAAACCGGTCGTAAGTCTAGGACTACCCAACCGGTCGTAAGTCGAGGACTACCCAACCGGTCATAAGTCGAGGACTTTCCCTGCCCGGGAGCACTGCACATGCGTGGTTCTGCCCCCTGCGCCGGCTGAGGCGTAGCTGGCAAGCGGCAGAGACGGAGCAGGCCGACCACCAGCTGGCCCAGCCCAAGGGAGATAAGGCACCTGCCGGAAAAGGGGAAAAAAATGGTGGACAAAAAAAATGGCGGACAGCCTTGCTTGGCGACCCCCGTGAAATGGTCGATCGACCCCAAATGGGGTCCCGACCCACAGGTTGAGAACCACTGCTTTAGTATTAAGGCCCTGCTTTCTGCCTTTTTTCAGGTTCAGGGCAATATTAATGCAATCAAATACAGAAAATGATGCATTTCCTTACATATGTAATCGTTCTCCCTTTCTGTTCATTAAACATTGCAATTTAATGGTAGCTTTTGGAGGAGCTCTGAAAATTACATCCAAGATATTGGGGGGGGGGAGGAATAACACAATTAAACATTGAAATAAATAATTTTCTAAATTAAACAATTAAAAATTAAAGTTGTTTCAAAAATTCAAATGCCTGCATTGTATAAATGGATACCCTGGGAACAACCTTGGGAAGCTGCTCTATTCATAACAGGTACAAGAGCTTCGTGATCCCAATATCTAGCCAGAAATGACTAATGGATGCTAGCCCTGCAGCTTTCAGTACAAGATAATCTTGCTTCAACTAGATTTCACCACTTTGTTTTAGAATTTTGAAGCGAATTTCGTTCCTATTCTCCTATTCCTCTCTCAATCAGAATAAAGCTGGAAGGGACCTTGGAGGTCTTCTAGTCCAGCACCCTGCTCAAGCAGGAGACCCTATACCATTTCAGACAAGTGACTGTCCAGTCTTTTCTTAAAAACCTCCAGTGATGGAACGCCCACAACTTCTGATGGCAAGTGTTCCAGAAGTTAATTGTCCTCACTATTAGGAAGTTTCTCCTTAATGCCAGGTTGCTTCTCTCCTTGATTAGTTTCCATTCATTGTTTCTTGTCCTGCCCTCTGGTGCTTTGGAGAGTAGGTTGACCCCCCCCCCCTTTGTGGCAACCTCTCAAATATTGGAATACTGCTATCATGTCACTCCTAGTCCTTCTTTTCTCTAAACTAGTCAAACCCAAATCCTGAAACCATTCTTCATGTTTTAGTCTCTACCTTTAATCATCTTAGTTGCTCCTCTTTGCACTTTTTCCAAAATCTCAACATCTTTTTTGTAATGTGGTGACCAAAAGTGGATGCAGTATTCCAGGAGTGGCCTTACTAAGGCTTTATAAAGCGATACTAATGCTTCATGTGATTTTGATTCTATGCCTGTTTATACAACCAAGGATTATATTAGCTTTTTTGGCTGCTGCCACACACTACTAGCTCATATTTAAGTGATTGTCCACTAGGACTCCAAGGTCCTTCTCAGTTACTGTTTTTGAGCCAGGTCTCGCCTAATCTATGCTCATACATTTGGTTTTTCCTACCTAAGTGTAAAATGTTGCTTTTCTCCACATTAAATTTCATTTTGTTGGACAGGGCCCATTGTTCAAGTCTATCAAGATTTTTTGGGATCCTGAGCTTATCTTCTGGGGTATTGGCTATTCCTGCCAGCTTAGTATCATCTGCAAATTTGGTGAGTTCCCCTTCTATTCCCTCATCTAAGTCATTTATGAAGATGTTGAAGAGTACTGGGCCTAAGACGGAACCTTGTGGTACCCCTCTGCTTACTTCCCTCCCTGTAGATGTAGTACCAGTAAGGACGACTCATTGAGTGTGGTTTGTCAGTCAGTTACAAATCAATCTGGTGGCGATGCTGTCTATCCCACATTTTTCTAGCTTACCAAGAAGCAGGTTGTGATCTACTTTGTCAAAGGCTTTGCTGAAGTCCAAGTATACTATGTCCACAGCATTTCACTGGTCTACTAATTTGGTCACTTTGTCAAAGAATGAAATAAGATTGGTTTGGCATGATCTGTTTTTAACAAACGCATGCTGGCTTTTAGTTATAACTTTATTTGTTTCTAGATGTCTGCAGATCTGTCTTTGATTATCTTCTCCAGTATCTTCCCAGTGTGTTCTCTGGGGATAGTATAATTACCTGCTCAAAGGTAATTGCATGAGCACCTTTGTACATGCTCTGAGGGATCTTTCTGTGCTCAAATCTGCACATGAGCTATCACAAACTAGTATCTTCAGATTAATTTGAAGGATGTAACATACAAGCAAAGTTAATCGTATTTGCAGCATTTTGTTAAATGAAAATGTGCATATGTATCCAAATGTTTAGACATATCGAAGAGAGCTTAAAATAGAAGTTCTTACTGTAATGAGGTCATCCCTTTTAGCCACTCTTCTTTTGTAAAAAATCCCATACTTTCAGCCTCTAATTTCCAGGCTAAAACTAGCATAATAATCTGTAAAGGAATAAAGAAATAAAAGTGGGCTCAGAGGGGGGCGGGAATCAAATTTACAAGAAACATTTTAAACAATGGCTGGCCGCAAAAGTTGTTTATCAGTCCAAATCTCTACTCTTTTCAAATGTGTTGGGACTACACATTTGAGGATTTGCAACCTTGCTGACGCTAAATTTCCATTTCTATTTAAGTATTTATTTATTTAATTCAGTTTGTACATCGCCTAGCTCCCAACAACCGTGAGTGGTTCACAAAAATATATATAAAAGTATAAAACAATTAAAACACAACAAAAGTAGAAGTTGGCAAAACAAGGCAGCAGCAAATACACACCCACTTCTTGAAGGTGACTAACCAAAAGGCTGGGCAAAAGACAGGTCCTTCAAGGCCTCCGAAATGCAAGAAAAGGATAGCCTCGTCTGAAGCCTCTGTATGAAATTATACCAAAACCTTTTATGTTCTATCCTCCATAGCATTAAAATGTTCTGCAGGAAGTGCCTGGCCCTACCTTTTAAAAAACGTTTTGAAGTATCCCCATTGTTTTAGAATGCCATACCCCCAGAAATGCACTGGAGATTCATCAGGTACCACCCTTTCGGAGCCATTTAAAACAATCCATCAAAACACATCAAATATTACAAATACTTTTGGAGCCATTAGAACAATATTACTGATGGATACCAATTAATAGTAGGTTTTGGGTGCCCATCATTTTTTTTGTTCCTGATGGTATGCTACATTTGATTACTTTTATATAGTACTTGGAGAGCTATTAAAGATCTTTTCCTACAATCTTAGGAAATCCACCACTTAACCATGAAACATTAAAATGATCACAAATGTGCTCTGGAATATGCAGTGGCACTTATGTAGCTGCAACACTTTAAAATACCTGTCGTCTTTTTCTTGAGTCATGCAGTGCTCACTATGGCAGAATCCCAAGAAAAGGTATATCCGATTTAAGAAGTTGGAGGCAGGTGTTAGTTAAAAATAAAAATTTGGGGTTTTCACATTTCGATACAAACTGCTGCATGGTCCTACTTGGTAATACTGTGAGTGCATGTACCGTATTTGCATTACACATTACTTTGGTAGTCTCTTAAAGTCAAAGCTGCAGGGTTGTAGTCAGATTGTTTTGGAAATTATGCAGCAATACTTGCCACCAGCTCCTTAGTTTCAAAACTGAGGGAAAGTCTGTGATTGTTTGATCATTTCATTGCAGGTATTAATCAGTGAGCACTTCCCATCTAAACTCTCAAACCAAAATGCTCCCCAATTATATTTCAACCAGGAAAACTGATTAACATAATAAATACCCACCCAATGGCAGTTGAGATACTCTACAATGGCTTTTCCAAAAGGAAATAGAGTGGTCCCTTGGAGGGACCAAGAAATTTGTATCCTCAACTTTAAAGTCTGGCTGTCAATGATACTGCTAAAAATGTTTGGTTCTATCATAAACGTAATAATTAGAGTATATTGCTATTTATGTGCTGATTAGTTCCTTGCACTGATTACTGTCAACCGCTGTAAGTATAATATATATTGGAGCATCTGTAAGGAGAAATAGATACTTAAGCCTTCCTACGCATTCTAATATCTTCACTGTTGTTCTTTCTTTGCATATTATTGACTTTGGAAGAAAATATAAAAACATAGGGGTATTATACAGAAAACAGTGCAAGGAAGTTTCAGCACTTTAAGATCTGCCCACGCCCAAATGTATTAAGAAATTATAGGATTCCAGTTGTAAAACTGAAATATTTTTTAAAAATCATTTTTTTAAAGTTACTAACATTTGCTAATTTGTGACAGTAATATTAAGAAAGAGTAGAAAATCAAAGAATGGACAATATTTAAAGGATATTAGCCATTTTGTGGCTTACGTTTTCAGGTTCAACACCAATATCTTCACAGAATTTTTCCATTCCTTCAGGTCCTACAACTTCATCATCACCTTCAAAGGAAAAAAAAAAGGCGTATCATGCTATATTAATCTGTCTCTGCCTCATTCAATGCCCAATCATAGTCAAAGCTGGAGTAGGATGGGAAACCAGCAGAGAGAAGCAACAGACTCTGTTCTCATGAGTCACTTCAGTGTTGCATATAGTTTCCTAATTACACCATATTCCAAATGTTTCACTGAAATCAGTTTCTGCCATCCAATGTACAGTTCCAGTTTTGAATGATTAATTTGCATTATAAAAGAACACATAAGATATGTTCATACATATGTGAATTTGAAGCAGAATCTAAATTTGCCTATCTCTATATAATAGGAGACATATGATGTTGATACAATTATAAAGAAAGACTGACAATCATTTAAGTATTTTAGCATGAGATTAGCACTTTTTCTATGAATATAGAAAGATGGAAAAAATCTAAATGGTTTTTGCAATATATTTGTTTATGTTACAAATATTTATTCATTTGCAAACAAAATATTTTGTAAAACATCAGTTCATAGTGTAACTGAATATATATATATCTTGCTCTTCTCTAACAATTCAGGTTTCTGCAGCATTACATTTTCTAATATAAAGAATGTTTTCCTGGTTTGAATATGTATTCCTTCTGTCCTGGATAAATAAATAAATAATAATCTCATACCATTGGACCTTAATGGGTTTAATTTTGACCAGTCACTGTTTCTCAACCCAACCTGCTTTTCTGAGAGAATGAAATATTTTGTATCCATGTTTATAGGAATAAAAACAAAAAAAGAAGAAAGGTATTTTGACTTCATAAAAATGTATTAAAGTATTCCTCTGTTTTAACTGGTAGGCATACTTGGATTGATCAGGATGGTATAAGTCAGGGGTAGGCAACCTTGGCTCTTTTATGACTCGTGGACATCAACACCCAGAATTCCCGAGGAATTCTGGGAGTTGAAGTCCATGAGTCATAAAAGAGCCAAGGTTGCCTACCCCTGGTCTAAGTATTCAACTACAGTTTGCTTAAATGGGGTTTGTTGAATAAGCAACCATTATCATGGATAATATATTTTGTTAAGCCATAAACCTTAGTTTGCAAACTTCCTTGGATAGATTTATACCATTCACCTACCTAAAGCCAAACAAATCACAATAGTTATATATTTGATGTGATATTCAACAAACCAGGTGAAAAAGTTACAACATAGCTCAATATGTGAACAACAGAATTTCACACCTGAGAAACTCCCGTGTATATTCTTCCCTCTAACCCCCGGGTGTCAAACTCGCCGTGTCACGTGACGTGTTGCAACATATCGAGACTTTTTTCGCATTGCCAGAGCTGGGGTTGGCACGGCCTCCGCATGATGCAACCGGCCCACGGGCTGTCAGTTTGGCAGCCCTGTTCTAACTCAAGAACACTCTCTCTTTTAAAGTAATGTGCTGCCATCATTCCCCATGTTATATTTAAATATTTTTAAACAGATGGTTAGTTTCACATTAAAGAGGAAACATGCAGAGCACAGTCCTAGTATTACTAAGTAATTACATTAACCATGCATTAGTTTCATACCTGCATATTCATAAAACCAAGCCAGGCACTTCTTGCTTGAAAAATGCTCCTCACCACTTATTACTTTATTGGAAGCTGGTGACCTGCAATAACTTAAATACATATTTAAAAAGATGTTGGTAAACATACTATTACTTTAAAAATCCCCAATTATGGCTTATTAATAGATAACATTATCTAGAAAATACTTAAATTTGCAGCTTTAATTTACTTCTTTTTATATACTTTCTAGGGAGCAAACTACCTTTTCTTTTGAAGTACAAAAGTGATGTCTTTTTTTTCCCTTTTCTGGATATTCTCACAACCCATTCTAAAGTTTAAAGAATTAACAAGCTATGTAACAAACCAAGGTTTAGTCATTTTATTCTGTCAATAAGTTTTTTTAATCACTAATTTACAAAACATCTTGGCATAATATAATATAAATATAATTCAGAAATAAAAGCTCCACACAAAACTCTTTAACAAAGGTTTCAATTACATTTGCATGTAACAAGTGGATTCCCCTTGGAGTAGATGATCCTAAAGGTAACACTGGCCCAAACCAAGTCATATAGGCTTTTTTAGATATCTACTGTCAATGTGGCCAAGAAACCTCCCCAGCAACGCAACTTCTGCAACACAATCATTATTCTTCTAAACGAGGTAAATCTGTAGGTAAACAGATGCATTCTATGACACAGCTGCAACTTCTTGAGTGATTCCTGTGCAGTAGTTTATATTGCAGTAGTTTAAACGAGATATGACAAAGTTATAAATCAGCCTTAGCACCTCTGGACCACGCAAGGATGCAACTGGAATACCAAGTAAAGATTCTGAAAGGATTTTAGGTCACAACTGCTATCTCCTGCTCCACAAGGAACCATGGCTCCAAGAAAACCTCAGATTACATACCTGCTACTTCAGGAAAAGTCAGTCAGATTAGAATACATGGAAGAGTTCATGGATTCAGAGTTCCTATACCAACAAAAGCTCTGACTTGCTGCAATTCACTCCAAATCTGGCACCTCCTCCACTCCCTTATACCCTCCAGGATAAAGATCTAAAGCTAGATATCATCAGCACATTATGAAATGTAACTGCAAAATGATAATCTCTCCAGTGGGTAGGTTTAGATATTAAATAAAATGGCCAATGGGGCTGAATTTTTGAACGGCTCCCATTGAAAGCTCAAGGGCTGGTACACTCAATCAAAACCGATTGGAAACACATTCAGGAATGAGCAAAACCAGTATAGGACTAAGGTTTAATCCCCAAACCATACTGGTGGTCCAAAATTATACCAAGGTGATGGGTACTGAATGCTGAAAAATCTAACAAGTCATCTGTAAGAGTAGCTGATGCAGTTTCCCTCCCATCCCCAGGTATAAAACCCAAATGGAAGGAATCCAGACAATCCATTTCATCCAGAAACCTGTATACTTAAGTCCAACCATCTTATTAAAAAGGGTATCTGCCAGTAATTATTTAGGGCAGCCAAGTGAATGATGGCTTGGGGAGACTTATATCACCACCTTACTGAAGGCTGGTATCATCTCCTTCCTCAAGAAGACACTCACCTCCTGCATCAATGTTTTAATTCCTTTTCTGGCCACATATATCAGGCAGGAAGAGCACTGATATAATTTGCAGGCAACTGAGCTCATCCCACAGAGGAACCAGTATGCTTCCTCAGGAGTTAGAGGCTTGAAGAAATCCCAGATGATCTTGCAAGATGTTAGGCTTGACATCTCATGAGATCATGCCCATGACAAAATGTTTTGATAATTATTCCATTCCTAGATATATTACTATAAAAGTAAATCCTATCAAATTCAAGAGGTCTTAGCATTTCAATTTGACAACATATTCCCTATTGAGATAGATGAGTCATATTTTAAAGGCCATGTAATATGTGCCTGTCTGCAGAAAGTAATGTTTTAGTATAACTGAAAGCCTATATAGTCTAGATGACATTCAACATTCATACCCAGAACTAAAAATATAAGCCAAAATTGTACTGTACTGAACTGTCAGTTGGGAAACATCTAAACATTTGATCTATTGTGTTTTGAGCCTCAGAAGCATTTGGACAAATTGCTAAATGCTATGAAAAACTGAGAAAAAATGGGCACTTCCACCTCTTAGAAAAATAACGGGGTGATGCAATTTGTTCTTTACTGGTACAGAATGCAATACCACAATAAGGATCTTAAGTAATAGGAAGCAGATTCCAATTAAGGAAACTATCCTGCAGTAGAAGTGGAATGAATTGACTAGTGAAATTTCATTAAATGTGTTCAACTTGAGGGTGGACTGAAGAAATCTGTCAGGACTTTTTAATTTGTATTCCCATACAAAATAGGACTGAATGCAATCTTACACATAGCACTTAGCAGCTATAAAGGCAAGCAATTAGAAAGATAATTGAATGTATTAATTTAATTCATTTTACCTGCCCTTGAGTGACTGAATATTTACTATGCTTGTAATACAAAACTGAGGGCAAGTGTTACTACCATTAAAAAGGCTGGCAATTGTAGCTCACGGATGCATTTATATTGTAGTCTTCACAGTATATTAAGTAAGTTATTTACAAAATGGCTGCTATGACAAATAATAAAACACATCATTTATGAGAAAGAAAACTGGAAATGTTGCCTCTTGCTATCTCTTCCATTTCTACAGGATATTATTTACTATCTAATCTTTTGGTGGACATTTCCAAAAAAAGCATGAACATCTTTCATTTGTTAAAGAACATCTGGCTACCTGAAATAACCAGTGCTATTTAAATTTCTGCAATGCTTTTTATAATGAATTGTAGGCAGCATGTTGCAGAGAGCTATTCTCTTCTACTTTAAAACACTACACTAACTGTGGTTTCATTTCATCCCTTTTTCAAGTAACAGTAAGCTAAAATGAAGTGCAATTGAATGTGTAGAACATCATGGCTGCATCTGCAATCTCAGGTGTTACTATTTCAAGGCATCCTTTTCCATTAGTTCTGAAACATCTGTCACACTATTATATATAATGCCTAACAGGTTTCATTATGCTCTTTCAACAGCTAATATTATCTTTAGTCCAATATACTTTCACTATTGATTGCAGCAAATTTTAACTCTGCAATTCTAGAGCTATGGTCCACGTAACAGTTTAGTTGGTATTCAGGGAACAAGTAGAACATGTTTGAGATTCTAACAGCACAATTCTATGCATGTATATTTAAAAGCTTGTCACGCTGACTTTAACAGTATTTGCACTCCTAAATAAGTAGCAGCTTTAGGAGAGCAGAGGGAGAGAACAGTGTAGTTACCTTTTTTATAGTAGATTGAAAAAGTTGTGGTTAGACTTTGGGGTGGGCCTTGTGAACAGAATTCAACTTTTACATTATCATTTTACATTACATTATCAATCAACTGGCTAACATTTCTGCAAATATATGCAATAAATTATATTTTTAAATAAAATACTGATTCATTACCATACAATATATAAGCAGAGAGATGACCAAAGATGTATCAATGTAATCCTTTCTAGTGTAAATTTTAAGATGTTATGTCAAAATCTACACTTTAGCTATCTTTTTTAATAATTTGTCTCTAACAGTGTTAAAAGATGAAAAGTCTAAGAATTTTTACATATTTGATGAAGAGTAATTCTTTGAACACCTTCATTACATCTTGACTTGTATTGGAAAAGTAATGGGTACAGAATAATAGGGGTAAATGGACATGTTAATTTTTTTTCTCTTCAATTATGTCTGATTCTCAGAGACTGGCAATTCCCTGTTTTCTCGGCATGGTTTTCCAAAAGTTGTTTGCCATTGCCTCCTTCCTAGAGCTGAGAGAAAGTGACTGGCCCAAGATCACCCAGTTGGATTTGTGCCCAAGGCAGAACTAGAACTCTAGTAGCTTTCCCAGTTTCTATTCTGATGCCTTAACCACTACACCAAACTGCCTCTCTACAACAGAGTAAAAACATAAAAAAACACCTAAGATGGATGTCCCTAAGCAACTAGCAACTAAGAATAGAAAACTCTAGTGGAATATAATTGCTTTAACAATCTTATGAAGAGGAGGGTATTTTATGAACCTCAGGGCTGGGTAAATAATTCCAAAGTACTAGGAGGCACCCACAGTGCCCAATATTAAATCCTGGAAGGTCTGTATTTATCAAGACAGAAAATTTCCAGTTAAGAGATAGCGAATTCTGTCTAGCCTTCATTCAGTTTATATGCCAACTTGCTCCTCCAACCAGCTAGCAAAAATTAAAACAGAATACGCACACATACATTCACTTTTCAGAGTGGGTGGCATATACATTTAATAAGTTGTATGTGTGTACATACACACACACAGATATGTTTATGTATAAATAAAATCAGCTGAAGGTGAAATTACACTACTCTTTCCTAACCAGCTTCCTTACAGACATGTTGGGCTGCAACTCCCATCATCATAAGGCAACATGTTCTATTTCATCCTGTCCATAGGCACCTGGAGGAAGGATAAGCAGGGGAGGGGCAAATAACACATACATCATGATGTCAGCAAGCAAATTACAGAATTTGTATACTTGACTGGATGCCATTTCATCCTTCATATAATATAACACATGCTGTTATTTTAACACCATGTGGTTCGTTGTAGATACCCCCATAGGGTCTGGTTGGGGGAAATGCCTTTACTATTCTCCATTACAAATCATTCATGGATTTTGCAATCACGAGTGCAGACCAAGCACACTAGAGCTGACGAAGGCTCCTTGAAACATTACTGTCATCGTGCAGAGCAACGTTCCCCTATCAGATGCTCACAGGATGTTCATGATTTCAGCTCCCAAACAACCCAGCCAGCCAGGGTCCTGAATGTCTTGCTAATGTGTGAGTTTAATCCAAAACACTTGCAAAGCAGCACTTAGGAGAAAGTTGCTACAGAATCATCAGTGAACCTACAGTACTAGCCCTTCAGGCAGGAAGCAGTACAAAGAAAAAAAAATCATCCTAAGACAGTGGTTCTCAACCTGTGGGTCGGGACCCCATTTGGGGGTCGATCGACCATTTCACGGGGGTCACCAAGCAAGGCTGTCCGCCATTTTTTTTGTCCACCATTTTTTTTCCTGCCATTTTTTCCCCCTTTTCCGGCGGGTGCCTTACCTCCCTTGGGCTGGGCCAGCTGGTGGTCGGCCTGCTCCGTCTCTGCCGCTTGCCAGCTACGCCTCGGCCAGCGCAGGGGGCGGAACCACGCATGCGCGGCGCTCCCGGGCAGGGAAAGTCCTCGACTTACGACCGGTTTAGTCCTCGACTTACGACCGGTTTAGTCCTCGACTTACGACCGGTTGGGGTCGCGGCATTAAAAAGGTTGAGANAGGCGCTCGTCATCGCCTTCCTCGGGGGCTCGAGCCGCGTCACCCATAAATGAGACCCCCCCCCCTCCCCCGACCGACCCGGTTGGGCGGTCCCAAAGCTAGGCCCGTCCCGCCGCAGATGCAGTACCTGCTGATTTTACATTTCTTGAGGCCCGATTCGTCGCTCGTCTGGCCCGAAGATTTGCGTTTTTTTTTCACGGGCATCTCCTCTCTTCCCCGTACAGCGGACCGAGCAGAAGACGAGGCGAGCCAGGCCCTCCAGCGTGCCCCCCCTCCTCCCGGGTGATGAGAGCGCCCGCCGCCGCCGCCGCAGCCTCTTCCGTCCTCGGCTGTTACGAAGAAGCAGCGGCTCTGGCTGCCGCCGCCGCGCCTGCTTCGTTCTCCGGCCCTTTCCTTTTCCTCAGTTTCCTGCTCCCGCCGGGTCTGCCAAGGCAAACGCACGCACGCGCGGGGGGGGGGGGCACGGACCGAAACACGCTGAGGTAGAAGCAGCCGCGGCGGCGGGGAAGCCGGCAAGGCACAGAGGAGTTCGCGAGCGCGTTTGCGCCGCCCCGACACGAAGAGGCGGGAGCAGGAAGTGACAGCGACGCGCCTCCGCCGCTTTCTCGACTGGCAGCCACTCGCCCCGCCTACTCCCGGGCGGAGCTAAGAGACGGGGACGGCGCCGACGCGTTATTAGCCCCACCTTTCCGGGAGCGTTTGCGCGCGTCACTGGGGAGACGTTGTGACGTGAGTTGAGAGGGGGCCGGGCCGGGCGTGAATTTCTCCCTGGGGCAGCTCGTGTGAGCCCGTAATAAGGGCTTTCCCGAGACAGGCCTCATCCCGCCTAATTCACCAGAGACTCGCGGATAGAGGTAGTCCTCGCCTTAGAACCGTTCATTTAGTGACCGTTCTGTAAAAAGTGTAACTGTACAACTGTTTGCACTGTAAAAAATTGACTTATGAGTTTTTTTCACACTTCCCACCATTACAGTATCCTCATGGTCACGTGAGCAAAATATGGTTGCAGTGCCCTCAGATCATGTGATCAGTTTTTGCCATCTTCTGATAAAGTCAATGGGGAAGGCCAGCTTTTCTTACCTAGGTTACTAACTTAACTACTGCAACGATTCACTTAGCAACAGCAAGAAATGGGCCAAAACTCACTTTAAAATGTTCTGCTTAGCAACATAAATTTTGATCCCAGTTATGGTTGTAAGTCGAGGACTACCTGTATATTTTCAAAAGCCAAAGGGAATTATTCCCAGTTACTGGTTGGGTTTTCATCTCATGCCCAGCCATGGTTAGCTTGTTTGGTTTATTTCTAATTAAAACAGTTTGCTGAGCTTGCACAAATTCTTAAGTTATGGTTTAAATAGTTGGGGTCAAACTTTGCAAACCAAATGATGATGAAGCTGAATCTCTATTGATAGTATTGTTGCTTTTAATATTGTATACAGCCATAAAAACATACATGTATTTTGATTTGTATGCCACCCAGAATTATATGCCCAGCATTTTAGATAATAGTTTTTTTGAATGTTAAATATATTGTTGGGTGAATCATTTTCACTGAGCCCTAGAAAGGCATTAGGGGGAAAATCACTTCTGAAAATACAGCCTAGAAAACTGCAGGGACTTTATGTAGTTGCCAGGAGTCAAAACTGCCTGAAGGCAAAATAAATCAATGTTATACTGTAAGTGTAAAGGAGTTTAAAGATGCCATTGGGGAAGGTATGAAAGAACTGCTAAGAGACTTGCAGAAAAAATTATACACAATCCAGAGATTGAACCAATTTTGAGAAAAAAACTTGTTTAGCACTGTATAAGATGGACAGATAAAAACTTGCCAGGTTTTCAGTTAGTTACTTATCCTACAACAATAAAGTACATAGCGTTCTTGGAATTCCTGCAGTCTTTCCTGACTTGGCCTATTTTGAAGCGCTGACATCAGTCTTGAAAGCCTGAACAATGGTGAACAAAATCAAGGGATGCTTGCATCACTTTCTCCAGTAAAGGAGAATGTTAAAATTCCTTTATGGTAAAGTAGAGGTATATGAATGAAGAAACAAAAAAGATTTGTATTATATTATGCTGTATCATTTAGCAAGATATATATAATGCCTCTCCCCAATTTGTTATCCTCCAGATGTATTAAAGGGTGTTCCCATGATACCACACCATGGACACCTGGCTTATAACATTTGAAGATAGATGATTCCTAACAGCATCATGTTGGGGCAGGCACGTGTACAATTTTAGCAGTGAGAAAAGAATCCTTGTAAATGTTTGGATTCAGTTTAAAGATAGTTAAAGGGAAAGTTTTCCTTGATGGCAAAACTGTATAAGCATTAAATAGAAGCATGATTTCTGGCATTCAAAAATATACAGTGCATAGTCAAAACGTAATTAACAAGTGTGATGGTTAAATTGCAGGGCTGCAACCAGTAAGACCCAGGTTTTCTTTATCATTAGAAAGTGGATCATATAATGATTTAGGGATAAGCATAAACTTTCAGCCCAATTTATCTCACATAATTGTGAAGATTAAATTTGAGAACTCCATGTGTACTGCCTTGAGCTGCCATCAGAAAGGTTGGTAGTTGAAATAAATCCATATGTGCTCTCAGAAATGAGTTAAAGTGTTGTGGAGTTTTGTATCTTCAGATCAGGATAAATGGCTTGTAGTTGTGGTTTTATCCTCTAATGAAAGGATGTAACAAAACAGAACTATATTTTTAGTCAAGTCTCAGTTTGGTGAGGCGTACAACTAATTTCAGATAAGTGTAGCTTTTATGAGATTAGTGAGCAAAGCATAATATTACCAATTTCTTGAAAGTCTAACATATTTAATAAGTCAGTGTTAGTGAGAGGAAATAGAAGCAAACTGGAAGTTCATTTGTGATACACAACACCAACAGACTACACTATTTCTACCCAGCTTATATTCCATATATTTCCTGAAATGCCGCACCCAGAGTTCTTCACCAGTAGTTGGCGGTTGCTGGGCTGTGTAGTTCAACTATCTGTAGACTCAACAGATTCTCCACGCAGTATAACAACCCCTTCCAGACTGTTGTCCTTCAGACAACATATCTCATGACCTCCACCCAACAATGATTTTTTTTTAGCGTGAATGATGGTACTCGTAATGCAACACATCTGCAGGGCCATTCTACGTTAATCGTGCACATTTAATGCCGCTCGCGCGGCATCCACCCAAAGCAGCGTGAGTTACACGCCTAGCGATTACCTATCACACCGATTGGGTTTACTGTATTCCAGGGTTCTGGAGAAGTGGATGCGGATCGCTTGATACACCCTTAAGGCACGCGTCTTAGCGTTAGGCGGCGTCCGCCATTTTGGTTGCCCTAGTAACCGGGCCTAGCAACGCTGCCCGCCGGGTGCCTCAGAAATCAAACAGGCGTTTCTTCCTTACCTTTCGCGGCGGCCCGGTGTCCGTCCCCGCCGGTATGGAATAGCAGTCCTTCAAGCAAAGGAAACCCTTATATAATAGTCCTTGTGTTTTGTTTTTTTTTATGGGAAGCGAGCCTCCTTCCGTTTCCCTCGCGTTACCCCTTCATCTCGGGTCCTCTTGATCTTGGCCATTCCATTTTCACGTTGTTCTCTAAAACAATGTTCTTAAACTCTTCTGTTTTTTCTGGGACGGGGGAGAAGGGCGGACGCTTTGGTTAAAAAGCGGCTCTCGGCTTTTCCGCAGCGTTTGCAGGACTTGTCTCCGTTCTCCTAGGCGGAGCTCCAGTCCAGAGTCGCGACTCTCATGCCTCTCGATGGGGACGGCGATGGCGACAAGAGGAAGATTTTCATTTCGGCCACTGCGGGCAACTACTTTGGGCTGCCGTCGTATGGGAGCCTGGCAGCCCTCTCTGCCAGTCCGGAACTGGCCAACTTTTTGGATGATGGCAACGAATTTCTTCTCTGTGTGCAGCACTCAGAAGACCAGATTGTTGTCTCAAATAAGGTACTGTGACGTGCTTTTTAATTATATTGTTATCAGTGTTAGATATTTATCCCACCTTTTATTTATTAATATGTCTCCCTCTGTGTGTATAAATGCAGAGATATTGATATAAATACAAAAAGGCTAGTTAGAGCATTAGCCTTCGACTCTTCCCTATAAAGAAGTGTGGGTGTGAGAGTTGGACACTAAGGATGGCTGATTGAAGAACTGATGCTTTTGAACTGTGGTGATGGTGTAAATTACTATGTATATTATGGACAGCCAAAGTAACCTACAGAGAGTTGTATAAATCCAGACACATCACTAGAAGCTAAAATCATAAAACTATGTCTGATTTCCTTGGCTATGTCATGCTGCAAATTCATTGGAGAAATCATTGATGCTAGAAATGGTTAGTGGAAGAAGACAAAGGGGCAAGCAAAGAACACATTGGCTTGATAACATCAAATCTGATACAAAGTTGAACACCCAACAATTGAAAGAAGCTGTGCTTGAGGGTAGCATGGAAAGCGCTTGCCTATAAAGTCACCAAGAGTCAGATAAGACTAAATGATTAAAAACAAACAAATATGGAGAATGGAGGAAGGAGTATGTATATGCAGTGCTCTTTTGGTAAAAAAAAAAAAAAAAAAAAAAGTGCCAGAACTCACACACGTCATATACAACCCGCCTTGCCTACCCTACAAGGTTCCATCCAAAAAAGGTGCCGGAACTCCGTTCTATGACAAAAAAAGCCCCTGTGTATATGTATGTATAAATATACGTATGTCTGTGGGTGTACACACACACACACACACACCACACACACACACAGAGTATGGAGGAAATACAGATAGTCCTCGACTTAACAACCACAATTGAGCTCAAACTTTCTATTTCCAAATGATACATTTGTTATGTGAGTTTTGCCCCATTTTACTATCTTTCTTGCTACAGCTATTAAGTGAATCACTGCAGTTATTAAGTTAGTAACATGGCTGTTAAGTGAATCTGGCTTCCCCATTGACTTTGATTATTTTTTGCATCCTTCTGATAAGCAATCACATAACCCCGGGACACTGCTACTGCACACTCCACTGCAACACGTGTCTGAATTTTAATCATATGACCACGGAATGTGACAATGGTTGTAAGTGTGAAAAACAGTAATAAGTTACTTTTTTCAGTGCCGTTGTAACTTTGAATGGTGACTAAATGAATTGTAAGTTGAGGATTACTTGTATTACTTTTTGTGTAGATTAATGTTGTGCCCTTATATATAGCATATATATGTA